CTGACCGCAAAGCCCAACACGGGGCTCGATCTCAGGATCCCAAGATCATGACCTGAGCCGAAACCAAGAGTCAGATGCTTGACTGAGCAACCAAATGAGCTACCCAGATGCCCCCAGACAAGTTTTATTTTTAAGAAATTTAGGCCAGTCTCACTTGAGTCAAAGGGAAAAATTTTCCTCACCTGGGCTAGGCTAGGTAAGGGTTCCAGAGTATAACAGAAGCCAGGAATCATGAAGGCAGTGGGCCTGTGGCAGCTAGAGAGACACTTAGGAGCAGAGAAGTCTGGGACAACTGTGATCCCTGAGTCCTTCTCATCAGGAGCTTGTCTCCTATATCCTGAGGGGCACTCTGTCAGGCAAGAAGCCGTATCCAGAGCATGAGTAGTCGGGAAGGAAAATGACCTCTATGGTCATGGGAGAATCTAATGAGAAGCAGAAGTTGAACGGTAACTGGGTCACCAGATTCCTAATGTTGCCTGTGCCGGGCCAAGGCCTTTCCTTTGCTTGGTTGTTAACTTGGGACAAGTCTCTTCTGGAAACATGACAAGAGGCCAGGGCTGGTACTTGTTCCTCACCCAGGCTGAGCAGACTACACAATGCTTTTGGTGTTGAGCAGAAAGTTACAGAGGTGCAAGATGAAGCCCAAGCACACGGTGGTTCCCCAGGAGTGGCGTGAGGGAGACTGTGTCTCATGGAAGTGCCTGAAGGCCACCCGAAATGACAGAGTCTGGATCTGCACAGGGGAACAACTGTTGTTTTATATTATGAAAATACCATCAGCATGTAAATCAATACCCACACCTAATTTTTTTTCTCATTTTTAGTATTCTTTGCTGCTCAGCTGTCATATATTTGGTGTCACAACTGTCAGGTACAAATGCATCCAGGGACGCCTAAGTGGCTCAATTGGTTAAGCGGTCTGCCTTTGGCTCAGGGCGTGATCTCTGGGTCACGAATGGAACTCCCCCACCCCCGGCATCAAGTCTCCTTCTACCTCCGTCCTTCCCCACCCCCCCATGCTCTCTTGTGCATGCTCTCTCTCAAAAGTATAAATAAAATTAATATATATATATATATATATTCCCTAGCCAAATAACATTTCACAGGCTACTTTAAGTGAGAGGCAGTATATTTCAAGTAGAGTCATTCTTCAGGAAAGAAGGGATCTATAGTATGGAAGTTATGATTAGGGAAATTGCACTGGAGCAATATCTAGGTTTTCCAGAGACCAGGGTTAGGCGATAACGCACGGGATGGTCACACCCCCACTCCAAAACTCAAGAGGAAGGATTTCTCCACCAAACACCATGACTTTAAGGTTAGCCCTCAGCCCCCAAAGTTCCTAAGGCTATTAGACTAGGGAGAGCAAAGTCCTACCCTCTTGGGTGCCAGATTCTCATGCAAATTGCCTTCATCTGTGTCCCCAGCTCATCTGGATTCCTCCTAGCATTAGACCCCAAGGATCTTACATTCAAGCTGCCATCTTGGCCCTGAGATCTAGGCTCTACTCCCAAACTATTCTCAACCCCTGTACTCCAGATTGAGGCTAAAAGCCCCTTGCCTCCAGCAGTTGACCCCATGTCCCCTGAGTATCTTAGAAAAATATACAAAGAGGTTTTTCATATTTCGGATATTTGATGCAAATCAAAAATAGGATGACCTTCATTAAGCCAATCATGCTAGCAAGTAACCTGGCAAACATGGTAAGTTTATAAAATGTAATAGCCCAAAGGATTCTAAACACACATAATGTAAGGATTCTATATAATTTAAGGAACAATCTTTGAATGTGTTATCACTGTGTTCTCTGTGAAAAAGATGTTCCATAGAAGACTCCAATTTCATAAAAATGACTATATTTGAATGTGTGACAGTGGAGGAACCCAGCCTTGGGAGCAGGTTTACTCAAGAGCTGTACACCACCGATCCCAATACCAGTGTTGTCTGGATGTGGCAGCTGGAGCCAACTCCTTGCAGCCCATGTGGCTTTGTTTCTTCTGCTTACAGCTAGCCCCTCCGACACGCATAAACATCCCCATCCAAGCCCACCCCTCTTGCCTCAATGTGCCACTGCTTAATAGCCCTTAAACAAGCACACAGGTGTGAGTCCTCGTTCTCACACCCATGGTCTGCTTGTTCTCCCTGCTGGGCAGAGAGCAACTCTGCATGCTTGGCCTTCCATGGCCCCTACTCCTGGTTTTTTGATTTATGCTTGTTCCTCCAGCCCAGAGGACACATCCAAGATCATCCATGCCCTGCATGCTCTTCACCAGCCCTATCTCCCATCCTTGCATGGTCCTTGCCTATTTTGTTTTGTTTTTTCGTCTCCTCTTTTTTTCCCTTTATTTTTCGCCAGGCTTTTCATGGGACCCAACAGCCTGTGAGGCACAGATTGTAGGTCCCAGTAGTGAACATATATTAGTTGATGCCCCAGTATTACTCCCCCACCCACCCCTTTGCCCATTCATGTTCCTGGATTTTTCCTTGAGGGAATGTGTTGCTTCCTCCACCGAGGGAAACAATAGAGCACAGCAATTAAGAGAGCAGATTCTAGAGTCAGACTACCTGGGTCCATTCCACCACTTAACCGGCTGTATGAACTTTAGCAAGCTACTTCACTTCTCCATGCCTCATCAGTAAAATGGAGATAAAAATAGTACCTACCCCAGAGAGTTCATGTGAGGGTAGCTAATCCTAATTAATATGTGCTCTATGTTAGCTATTATTCTTCCGCACTGGGTAGGTTGGGTGGGATGGCCCCCAGCTCAGGTGTGGATTATGATTGACTTAAGCCAATTAACATAGCCCATCTGTAGTATTCATTCAGGCCAATGATGCACAAGGAGATTTGCTGGGGCTTCGGGAAAGAAAAGTTTCATCTTTTTTCAGGACCATTTCTCTTTCCCTGATTTGCACAAACCAACAGTAAAAAGACATTTGTGCGACGAGGGAAAATTGAACCCCAAGAATTAACTTCTATTCAAGAATTATTAATGTTTTCAGGAGTGACAACAGCATTGTGGCTGTATAAAAAAAAAAACAAAAGTTCTGGGGCACCTGGGTGGCTCAGTCGTTAAGCATCTGCCTTCGGCTCAGGTCATGATCCCAGGGTCCTGGGATCGAGCCCCGCATCGGGCTCCCTGCTCAGCGGGAGGCCTGCTTCTCCCTCTCCCACTCCCCCTACTTGTGTTCCCTCTCTTGCTGTGTCTCTGTCAAATAAATAAATAAAATCTTTAAAAAAAAAACAAAAACAAAAGTTCTTATTTGGATATGCACATTAAAATATTTTTGGGTGAATGTACAATGTCTGGAATGTGCTTGAGAATATCCCACCTCACCCCCAGAAAAAAATGTCACGGGGGAAGTTGACAAAACGTTAACCATGTTGAAGCTGGATGATGGGTAGGTACATGGGGATTCATGATACTACTTGTTATGCTTTTATCTATTTGAAAATCTATGTAATAAAAAGGTTGTTTGGGTTTTTTTTTTTTAAGTCTTCTTGCTATGGAAGGAAAGGGCATTTTTGTCCCCAGGGGCCCTTTGGATGCTTTAGAACTAGAACCAATAACATGACTTTTTGTGTCAGCTGAAAGATCAGGCACATCTGCTCCTGCCTCTTCTTGGTGAACTTTAGCCCTTGAGGCAAGAAGCAGGTGGTAGAGACACAGCATAGGAGAACAAGGGAGGCCAGTAGAGAGAAGAGCTGTGATTTTAGGTCAAGGATTTATCAGGGCTGGTCTTTGTGCATCTATGTATCAAATTAAATGAAGTCCTATATTACCTCCGGCCTTAATCTATAGCGGAGATCAGCATCTGTGTGATTTAAGTTCCTCTGGTGACATCTTTGATGATAAAATGGGAGAGCTGGAAGAAACTAGAATAAATATCCAATTGAACTATCTTATTTTGCACCCAGATGCAATATTATATGAAGGTTATGGGTGGGTGGGTCGGGTGAGCTACTACTCATTAAACTAGAAGGCTGGCTTCCCCACTTTGTTCCATTTCTCCCTGGCTACCCTGACAAAATAAATAAGGCAATAAGATGAATGCACAGTCTTTATTTTCTCTAAAATTTTAAATGATTTTTTTTAAGATTTTATTTATTTATTTGACAGAGACAGAGACAGCGAGAGAGGGAACACAAGCAGCGGGAGTGGGAGAGGGAGAAGCAGGATTCCCACCGAGCGGGGAGCCCGATGTGGGGCTCAATCCCAGGACCCTAGGATCATGACCTGAGCTGAAGGCAGATGCTTAACGACTGAGCCACCCAGGCGCCCTCTAAAATTTTAGGTAAAGAGAACTTTGTAGAAAGAAACCATCTATGTGATTGAAAATGAGAAGGCCCAAACTTACTCAATATTATATCAATTATATCTCAAATCTAGAAAAAAAATTTTTCAACTTCTTAAAAAGAACCAGAAAAAGAACATGGGAAGGTCCAGCTTCATGCAGTGGCTCCAGGATGCTCAGAGAAAGAAACCAAAGTCGGCCAAGAATAAGCCAAGATTTTCCTGAGTTGGTGTAGCCTCTAGAGTTGTGACTAGTATCTCAAAGAAGAAGGAGATCAGCCCAGAGTTTGGGTCTATAGCCCCGGGAAATACAGTATGTCACTCTGACGCTCCTGTCACATCAACTGAGCATGCTGGCTGGCATTTCTGGTATTGGAGAGGAAACTGACCTAATTTCCCACACTCTTCTGCCATCCCTGTGCCCAGCCTGGCATCTGGCCAGTCTTCCTGCCCAGAGAGGGCAGCTGACTCTGCAAGTCTTGGAGAAGAACACTCCATAGGTGTGTGAACATCTTGTTCACCATGAACCAGCCTCACAAGAGCGTTGGGTGCGCAAAGGTTTCCAGAAGAGTTGGGAGAATTGGAGCAGGGCAGGATTCTCAAGAGCAGCCAACCAGGAGGATGGTCCTTCCAAGGTGGCCTTCTCCTTGGTCCCCTTTCATTAAGGCCACTAGGCCTGATAAAGCTGTGGCCCCTCCACCAGCTCTACTCCCATTGGATTCCTAGAAGCTCACAGCTGACATTCCACAAGCGCTCAGCCGTTTTGTTATCTCGAGCCTTTGGAGACACCCAGGCCTTCTTGCAGTCACTGGAGGGCAGAGAAAGAGAATGAACAACCAGGAGTGGAAAACGAGAGTCTGGAAAAGTTTATGGCCTCTTTCTTAGAATATATTTCTAAATGTGTAAGATACATCAAATGAAAAGGAACTAAGTGTATTGAAATGCAGTTTTAAAGTATTTTAAAAAACAGGTGCGTGATAGAGTAATAAGTAGGCTTCTTTGTTAAACGTATTCTATAACAAGAGCTTGCGCTGCGTCTGATAGCCACCAGCCTTTGAAGCAGGGGTCAGCAGAAGTGACACCGTGAGACATCTGCACCAATTGCCATGTGATGCGAAAATATTTAGTTTTATTGGTGACAAAGGCACAGGTATCACTGCAACTTCTGCAGTTTATGGTCTACATTTGTCATCAAAGGAAATGTCAAATTTCAGGGGGAGGTTAGTGAAATTGAAGACACAATTATCTTCCCATCCAACTTCACAGACCCCTTGAATTCTATCCGTAGATCCACCTGTACCCCATGTACCCCAGCCTAAACACCCTGTTCTCTTTTGTTTTGGGGGGAGCAGAGGATGGGGGAGGGGCTAGATGGAGGAGGAGGTGGGGGCAGAACATAGCGCTCACGGTGTTTCCTTTAAATAGTTTTTTTTTAATTATAAAAGTTGTGTACAACACTTGGAAAATAAAGTGCTGATAAGGAAAAGCCTGTTTACTTTTTCTTATACTCTTACTTGCTTTGTGCAGGAATATAGACTTTCTCTGTTCCTTCTACACAAAACTAGAATCGTATTGTATCTAGTATTGAGGGAGGATATCTTTCTCTTGTTAAAAAGGTATATTTTAGGGACATCTGGGTGGCTCAGTCAGTTAAGCGTCTGCCTTCAGTTCAGGTCATGATCCCAGGGTCCTGGGGGCGAGTCCCACATCGGGCTCCTTGTTCAGTGGAGCCTGCTTCTCCCTCTGCCTGCCACTTGTGCTCTCCCTCTGACAAATAAATAAATAAAATCTTTTTTAAAAATGTATATTTTAATTATCAAGTTATAAGAAATATGTGACTTTTTTTTTTTTTTAAAGATTTTGTTTATTTATTTGAGAGAGAGAGAATGAGAGAGAGAGAGCACATGAGAGGGGGGAGGGTCAGAGGGAGAAGCAGACTCCCCGCTGAGCAGGGAGCCCGACGCGGGACTCGATCCAGGGACTCCAGGATCATGACCTGAGCCGAAGGCAGTCGCCCAACCAACTGAGCCACCCAGGCGCCCAAGAAATATGTGACTTTAAAAAAAAATTTTAATAAGGAAATACCTGGAATAAAAGGTTAAAATCCTCCTTCACACTCCCCTGACTCTCAAACTCCCTGGAAGTAACTACTACTTACAGTTTGTTGTGTATCCTTCCAGACTGTCTTCTATGTATTTACAATGAATACTTAGAGTTCTGTATTGCAGTTTTTTTTTCACAATATTATATCACCGACATTTTCTGATTAATTGAATGTTATTTGGAAATGTTTTAGCGACTGTATAATATTTTATCACATACTCAGAGCAGTGATGTGAAACACCTACATTTCAGGGTAGCATTGTCTCAGAGAAATGTGATGTGACCCATATGTGTAATTTTAAATTTTCTAGTAAAATTTTTTAAAGTGTATTTTATTTATTTTTTTAAAGATTTTATTTATTTATTTGACAGAGAGAGAGACACACCAACAGAGGGAACACAAGCAGAGGGAGTGGGAGAGGGAGAAGCAGGCTCCCCGCTGAGCAGAGAGCCTGATGCGGGGCTCGATCCCAAGACCCTGGGATCATGACCTGAGCCAAAGGCAGACGCTTAACCAACTGAGCCACCCAGGTGCCCCAAAATAAATTAAAATCTTAAATAAATAAATAAATAAGTAAATGGTGTGCCAATGAACAGCCTTGAACAAATGGGACAGAGTAGCAGATTGGGATGGCTCAAGTCATGGAATGGGAAGGAGATTTAATCTTGGACTTCCTTTTATTCCCAACCTCTGATTGCCCATTGAGTCTGTGGCGAGATTCAACAGTGAAATGTCTATTTCTGCATTCCAACAGATGGTGCCTGTGTTGGCACTACTGGGAGAGAGTTCACCCAAGGAGAGAGGTGACCTTGCTCCAGTGCTTTGTGCTAAGTGGTATTAAAGAATTCATGAAAGAAGTCAGTCAAAAGCTTCAAGGAGGAGAGAAAGGATCCAGAGGGCCTGTTAATGTTCTTTCCAAGGCATAACCAATAGGGACAGTCCTTTCTAGAAGCTCTCAGAAAGCTACAAAGCTTACCTGGAAATGTGGTACACAGGTATAAAACAAAAGTTTCTGATGCGACCTCCCTTGGAAAAGTAACAGCACTTGGTTTGCAGGCCCAGCCCAAACCTGATTCCATGATCAGGCACAAACTTGGCCACTAGGGTCGGGTGCAGCGCCCAGGGAGCCCTGTGCCTCACCACATACCCAGGTGATGGAGAGAAACCAGGACCGCCTCCACGTACCTGAAGTACTTGCCACTCAGCGGCTCCAGGCCCTCAGCCAGGGCGCAGTGCAGGCTGGTCTGCGCCCCCTCCCATGCCGACTTGACGAAGGGGGAGAAGATCCTCCAGAGCAGGCACAGCAGGAAGGAGTGTCGGACTATCTCAGAGCTGACGACGCCTGGGTGCACAGCGTAGGTGGTGACCCCCGTGCCTAGGGCAAAGGAAGCACAGTTAGTTCGGGGGCACATCTGAGCCCAAAGAAACAGCTCATCTCCTGTGGCAAAATGCACAAGTGGGAAGGGACTCAGAGAACGAATCCCCAGGTTCAGAAGGTGCCTCTCCTAGCCAGGTAGAATCTGATAGGAATTAATTGATCTCTCCCAGAAAGATCTATTGCCTTCTCAGCCTTCTGTGAACCACAAGGAGTGCTTGATTGAAGGTCCTTTTATTTCAATGTCACCTTTACTCTGTGGCTTAAGTATTAATAATAGAAAAAAACACAGGTAGTAGTACTAGTAGTAGAAGGAGGAGGAGGAGTATCAATTTTTAACAGTGGTATCCTTGAAATTTCTATAGAAGGGGCTTGGGGGAAGCAACTAGTTAGAAGGCAGGAGGCTAGGACCTCGTTTTGAGCTGCAATTGCTGGGCAAGTGCATTTTATGGGGTATAGATTGAGGGGTGTTGATGGAGATAATGGATGTTAACATGACCCCAGGGCACCCCCTGGTGCCTCTACTATCTTTAGTACTTATTATGACCAGGGGCTGTGCTACGGGCTCCACAGGCATTATCTCATTTCGTTCTCAAAGAGGCTTGGAAGGTGTCCATTTATAGTTGTGGAAACTGAGCTTTCATCACAGACAGGCTATGTAAATTGCCCAGTCATACCTAACAGGCTGTAGGACAAGGTCTGAACTCTGATGAAGAGTAAAAAGCATAGACTCCAGAGCTAGACTATCTGCATTTGCATCCTGGCTCAGCTAGGAAACTTCGTCGGTCAAGTTTCTTAATGTATCTGTGATGAGATATAGCTATCTCTTCATTTGTAGAGTGGGGGAAACCTACCTCATAGGAATGTTGTATTAAATGAGTTTAGACATGTATAATAATATGGCACATACAAAACTCTCAATTATTATTATCATTATTATTTCTTCTAACAATTACCCTACTCATCTACCTTCTGCATTCTGATAGTAAATACCATTGTTCCCAGACTCTGACTGATTCCTGGTGGCAAATGGTCTCCAGATTTTATAGATTCCTAACCCTTGTTCCAGTTTAAGCTTCACGAGGACAAGAATTGTTTTTAGTCTGTTTGTAATCTCATTCTCCTTAGTCTATAAAGCTACCACTGAAAGGTGCATGTTTGACATCTTGACTTCAGAAGTTTCTGTGAATCTCTAATCTAAACAGAAGACCTTGCTTTTGCTATCTTAGCCATGGCCCTTTCTCCAGACTTACCTTGGAGCCTCTTGGCCAGCTCACGTGTAAAAAGCACATTGGCCAGCTTGCTGTGGCAATAAGCCAAACCTCGGCTGTAGCGCTTCTCACCCTGGAGGTCATGGAAGCGAATCTTGCCAGCATGGTGAAGCAGTGATGACAGGTTTACCACCCGTGAAGGGGTGGACTCCTTCAGCCGCTCCAGGAGCAAGTGGGTGAGAAGAAAGTGACCTGCGAGGAGAACCAGCAAGGGAGACTGAAGAGAGGAGTGGTAGCCCAGGCTCAGGGGGTAGAAGCTGATGATAGGACTTCAGCAATAGCTCACTATCTTCTGGGTATGAACAAATTTTGGTGCTGTGATAACTCAGTGCAAATGATCATTTAATGTGAGCTAGTGTGTTCCTACACTAGCTAGGCCCAGAGCTAAACTACAGGTAAGGCAATACAGACTTAATCTGTATTTATTTGTCCCTCTGCCCTGTCCCAGTCAGAAGAAATGCCACCTGCTGGCTTCTGCCCTCCCTTTGGCCATGATCACACAACTGAGGGTCCAGGTACATTCATGTACGGAAGGAAGGATGGAATAGTCAGGGAAAATAATTTGCCTAAGACCAGAGAACATGTTCCATGATCTCCTCACTAGAGCCATCACCTTGAATTCTGAACCCCAGCCTCATTCATACCTTAGGTCTTCAAGGTCTGCCTCCTCCATGGTCCGACCCTTGACTTCTTGGCCTTCAGTTATAGATGTGACCCTCTCCAGCCAAACACAGACTCCTGCACCCATCATGCCTGACTCTGCTTGGCAAGCCTTGCACTACCATGGCCCCATCTGAGAATGACATTCTTCTTGGTATCTCTCAAGTTTTGGGGTTTCTCTATGGTACAGGTAGGAGGATCTCACTTTTCTGTACTGGTCAGTGGAAAAATAGCAAAAAACCAGTATGTCCAGTCTATTTGAATCCTGGGGTCTATGAATACCACTAGAGATTCTCAGCACTTGTATAGGGTCATCTCCATACAGAAAGCAAGATGGGGTTTATCTTGTTTTTCAGTCACTCGAAAATACTTACCTGGGCACCTGGGTGGCTCATTCAGTTAAGCAGCCAACTCATGATTTTGGCTCAGGGCATGATCTTGGGGTCCTGAGATCAAGCCCTGTGTCAGGCTCTGTGCTCAGTGGGGAGTCTGCTGGAGATTCTCTCTCTCTCTCTGACCCTCCCCCCCCCCAGCTTATTCTTTCTACCTCTCTCTCTAAAATGAATAAATGACTCTTAAAAAAAAAAAAAAAAACTTACCTAGGTGATTGACTCCCAAGTGGGTTTCAAAGCCATCAGCTGTCTTAGAATATGGACACATCATCACCCCTGCATTGTTGATCAGAATATGGAGCTGCTTTTCCTCTGTAGAGCAAAACCAAGGAGACCCTGTAGTTAGCACAGAGCCTACTAGCTGCCTGTTGCAATCCTGAGTATTTTCTCCTTGCCCTCGGATCTATTTCAGTGATATTTAATAAACACTGTCATTGGGTTTCTAAATTTAGCTACTGGTATCTTCCTGGACACCACTCATTCATTCATTCATTCATTCAGCAAATGTATACTGAGTACTGACTCTGGGCCAGGCCCACTAGGCTATGCACTGGACATACAGTCATAAAACAAGACAGACACGGTCCCTGTCCTTCATTAATTTCATAGGCCTTGGTGGAAGCTAGTCATTTTCCAAAATACAGAAGAATTCTGGCAACAGCTAGTGTCTGTGGCCACAGAAGGTTGATTCTCAGGATTAGAGAAGAGAGTGACATCAGGGCCACACCTTGATGCCAAGCTGCAAGCCCAGACAGAGAGCCTGACTTTCCCATTGCTGAGGAACAGGATGATAAGGATCCTGCCCAGCTTGTCCACTGCCAGTTCCTTGCCCTGATGGTTCAAGTGGCAGAACCTGTCCAGGGGGATTCATGGTGGCTCTGACGTAAGGGTCCCAGGTGGCACAGGGTGGAGCAGCCACTCCCACACCCAGCTTCCTGCTTTTCTGTCTGCTCACAGGGGCCTTACCTGCCAGAAAGCGCTCAGCAAAGCCTCGGATGGATTTGGTATCAGATAGGTCCAGTTTCCGCACCAGCACCTGGGAGTTCTTTGTATCAGCTCGGATTTCACTGGCTGCAGACTCCCCCTTCAGTACATCTCGGCAGGCAATGTATACTCTGGCTCCTGGGGCCAAAACAAAGAGAGAATAATATGTTCAGACCCAAGGCTGAAAGAGAGGATGTAAGCTTGTGACTAGGGGACAGAGCATCCTCCCAGCCCAGCCATCCCTATACGGTGAGTGGCTAGTTTGCCGCCTCAGGATTCTCACAAGTAGAACTGCTCAGTCCCTTTGCTGTCAGCTTTACCCAAGCCTGGGAACCCTGGTTTTTACACGCTGATATTTAATGTTGCTTGGTACCTCCTTTTAGCATAACTGATTTGACCAATATTATACATGGACATCATTATTTCCCTTTATACACTAGGGAAGGAGAAGTGGGGGTAGTTTGTTTAAGGATACAGAGTAAGTTGGTGTCAGAGCTGGACTTGAATTCCAGGTTCCTTGAATTCCTGACCAGAACCTCCAAGCCCAGGAGGAAAGAGATGGAAATGTAGACAGAAGTCCCAATGAGAAAGGCAGGACGCACTGTCCTATGAACATGGAAGGGGGACGACTTGCCTCTGCGAGCCAGCTCTCTGGCCGTCTCCTTGCCGATGCCCGTGTTGGCGCCGGTGATCACCACTACCTTCCCGGGAAGCTGCACATTTGATCTACAAACCCCACCAGCAAAGAACTTCCTACAGGCAAGGGAAACAAAAGCATTCATGCACCATCCTTCCCAATTCCAGACTGAGAGCAACATAAAATCCATCCAGCCTCAAAGAGAAATTTAAGTTGTCATCAGGAGACCCAGAGAAGCTAATCTTCAGGGGACACTGTTTTCCCACTGGGCATCCTGCTCATCAGCGCAGGTTGGAAGGTCATGTGTCCAGAAACTACAAATGATCATTTGGGCGAGCTGAATAAGTGCTCTTGGGCCAGGGCCGATGGAGACCTCCCTTGTTAGATAACACAGATGCCCAGCCCTCATCTAGAGGTTCCCAGAGGTCAGCTTCCTCCTCTAACCTGCATTCAAAACATATGGATGATGACCATTAGTGGAATCAGTGGTCCTGAGCCCTAGGTCTTCAATAAGCATCAACAGTGAGTAATTGATTAACAGCACTACAAATACAGTCTTGGGCTTCCTCTCCAGTTTTAGAGAGCCGACATCTTCAGAGGTTTTCTGCTGTCCTACTAGAGATTCCATTCTAGCCACAGCATCCAGAAAGAATGTTCAGATGTCTGTGCAGAGAGCATCCTCTCACATAAAGTTGATTTGATGAGTTCCAAAAGAGGATGGGAACAGGGCAGAACTAATATTTCCTGAGCATCATCTGACTGCCCGGCACTAGGCTAGGCACTTTCTGTAGGTAACTTATTTCAATCCTCTTGACCACTCCATCATTAGCCCTATTTTATAGTGGAGAAGACTGAGGGTCAAAGAAGTTCAAGTCACTTGCTAATGGTGGCAAAATTGGAACTTAAACCCAGGTTTCTATGCCAGGACCTAGAGCAACACTCTGTTCCTGATATGTCCATTTAATCTACTTTATTGTCAGCAATTTTCAAATTTTTCACTCAGAACACACATTTCTGTGACACCTTCAGACATTCCACAGCAGAAGACCCATCCCGAATCATTAGTTGAGGGAAGTCTCAAAGGTAAGAGAGTTTGTTTCCTTTGCAAAATGCCTGGTACTTAACAATGAGTCCCTCAGCAATGACCTCCCATAATAACCCAGCAGGGCTACCTTGATCAGGGGCAGTGAAGAAAGGACCTAGGGACCTTCAGAGAAACCCAAGGGAATGGAGTGAAAGAGCAAGCACTCCCACCTCGGTTGTCTGTCAAGCGACTTCATAGGGTCAGCTGTCCACACCATCGGCATTCAAAAGAGCTCCTTCTCTCCCAGCCCCAGGTGCTTCCTTCCCATTTTCCACCAGGGTAGTCCTGACGACCTCCTTCCTGCTTTTTCTGTCCTGACCTTCCCTCCCTCAGCCTCCATCCCTTTCTCTTCTTTCAGCAGCTGAGAACTCACCGACTTACAAGCTCTGTGTCTCCCAATCCAGGGCTTTGCAAAAATATTCCATGAGTTACTGAAATAAGACAAACCTGATGGATGGAGCTCTGAAGTACAGGAAAGAAAGGAGGGAGGTGAGCAGTCCCAAAATAACCAGCATCTTTTCAACTTCTTTAGTTGTTGCCGCTTTAGCAAAAGCAACTTGGACTCCAAGTCCGGTTCAAGCTCCTGGTCTGACTCCAACTCCTGGCTGCTTGGCGCTGCCTCTCCCTCCTCAGGCTCCTCCCGCTCCAGGGTGCTCGGCAGCAGCCCGACTCTGTCTAAGCTTGGCCCAGAATCCTATTTAAATCCGAGAGCTGTCAGAGCACAGCCTTCTGGGAGTTGTAGTCCTCGGGGAAGAGGACAGTAGAAGGGGCAGAGCGTCACACTTACTGGCAAAGGGAATGAGGGAAAAGTAGAGCAATACTTGCTAACACTCCACCCTCAATTATTTCGCTTATCTGGGGAACGTGTTCTCCCAACATCCCCCACCCCTACTCCTGCAAGACAATATTTTTAACTTTACAACAGACCCAATGACTCTTGGAATACAAGAGTGATTAAAATAGAAAGAAAGAGAAGGCAGAACCCCCCCGGGGGAATGGTGAAAAGTCAGGAAGGTGGTTTCCCTTGGTGGGAAAGGTGTAGAGACTGGGAGGGGGCATGTTGGGAACTCCTGTGGGGATAAGTGTTCTGTTCTTTGAGGTGGGTACTGGTTACCGAGGTGTGAAAATTCATTGCGTCGTACACTTGATTTGTGCTCTTCTCTGTGTTTTATGTTATACTTCAGTGACGTTAACACACATGTGTACATGCCAAGGAAAGAGTTTCAATGCATGGGTTCTAGAGTGGAGTTCCTGGTTCAGATCCCAGCCAATCTACTTACAAGCTCCATGGCTCTGTGTAAATTACTCAGTTTCCTCACTGTGCAATGGGTATGGTAAAATGCTTCAATAAAGTATTAAACTACTTAAGTAACCAGCAGGAGAAAGTAAACTTGACCCTTACCTTACTCTTTACATCAACATTTCGAACAGATCAAAGATAAAATATAAAAAATGGAACCATTAAAGTATTAACAATAGCCACTGGACAAATTTGAAAATAAGGGAGTGGTAAGACCCTTCTAATAAGATAGGAAACGCAGAAATCAAAAAAAGAAATAAATCTTTGGGGCACCCGGGTGGCTCAGTCGTTAAGCTTTTGCCTTTGGCTCAGGTCATGATCCCAGGGTCCTGGGATCGAGCCCCACATGGGGCTCCCTGCTCAGCGGGAAGCCTGCTTCTCCCTCTCCCACTTCCCCTGCTTGTGTTCCCTCCCTCGCTGTGTCTCTCTCTGTCAAATAAATAAATAAAATCTTAAAAAAGAAAGAAAGAAAGAAAGAAAGAAAGAAAGAGAAAAAGAAAAAGAAAGAAAGAAAAAAAGAAAAAAATCTTCATGACAAAAACTACCATACACAAAGCAACATGAAAGAGAAACTGCTGGGAGCGGTGGGATATCACAACACGTACTGCAGACAAGAGTCTAATTTATTTAGTATTTAAAGAACTCATACACATTGCTGAGAAAAAGAATAAACAACCCAATTGAAATGACAGTTTTTTTTTAAAAGATTTTATTTATTTTTTTGACACAGAGAGACACAGCGAAAGAGGGAACACAAGCAGGGGGAGTGGGAGAGGGAGAAGCAGGCTCCCAGCTGAGGAGGGAGCCCGATGCTGGACTCAATCCCAGGACCCTGGGACCATGACCTGAGCCAAAGGCAGGCCCTTAACCAATTGAGTCACCCAGGTGCCCCTGAAATAACAGTTTAAAGAAAAGGAAATACAAGTCGCTGTCCAACCTCACTCATAACAAGAGAGATGCAAATTAAAATTACACAAGGAGCTCCTTTTCACTTAACAGATTGGCAAAGACCAAAAAGGTTATCACATAGTCCATTGGCAAAATAGTGAAGAAATAGTGATGGACTGCTAGTGGGAGAGTTGACTGTTACATTCTCCAGAGAGAAGTGTGATACCATCTAATAAAGCAAAGCATACACCTTTTGACCCAGACATTCCATGCCCACTTCTCTGTAAGACTGTCATTGCAGCAATATGTGTAACAGCAAAATCTAAGAAACCTAACTACCCCCAATAATACAGACAGCCACATACACAACGGATACTATGCAGCTGCAAAAAGGAATAATTACTTTTTAAAAAACACAATTGATAATAGAACAATCTTTGAGACATGTTAGGTGAAAAAGCTGGGAGAAGAACAGTGTATATAATATGCCACCATTTGCTTAAAAAATGGAGGAAATACGTGGACAATATTTGTTTGTATCTGAATAGACTATCTCAGAAGAAATGACAAGAAATAGCTAATGATGGTCGCTTCTAAAAGGACCGGGGGACAGGAGGAGGAAGCTTTTCACTGAATGTACCTTGTGTATCCTTTTGTACCTTGTGAACCTATAACCCATGGCTTCTTAAAAATTAAAGTTTTTATGGCTCAGTCAGTTAAGCGACTGCCTTCGGCTCAGGTCATGATCCTGGAGTCCCGGGATCGAGTCCCGCATCAGGCTCCCCGCTCAGCAGGGAGTCAGTCTGCTTCTCCCTCTGAACCTCCCCTCCTCATGCTCTCTCTCTCTCTATCTCATTCTCTCTCTCAAATAAATAAATAAAATCTTTAAAAAAAAATTAAAGTTTTGAACAAAGAGATCCAGATCACTTTGAAACAAACTTACTGGTTTAATTTCATTAATCATTGCAACATAAAAAAACAAAGCTATTTCTCAAATCAGTATGGAGACATTCTTAAACATGTGTTGCCACATTACCAGGACTTACTTCGTCATTGTAATTGACACCGCAGGCCCATGGAGCAGAGCCTGTTTTGGGGGACATTCAATGTGAAACAAACATAGATATAAATCAGAGAGAGAACAAGATGAAAACACCAGGAGAACTAGTATGGGAACAGATCTGAAATTTAGGGATGAAAAAGTACTCATCAGTTGCAACACCACTGAGAACGGCCCTCTTCCTGCCACTGGTAAATCACAGGTCAGAAGGTAATGCCATTACTTACTAGGGCATTAGAGCAAGAGAAAGAACTGTAAACCTTTCTTTCCTTCCCTCCCCTCGCCTAGTCTTAAAGTCACAGATTCTAGAAGCTAGACAAGTAAAAGATTCCAAATCCAATCTTCCTACTGCAAACCATCCCCCACTTTCCTGAAAGGACTCATGCAGCACCACAAAGATATTTCCATTTCCAGCCATGAGGAGCTTGCTGCCTCTTCCCATGTCTCTACCCCAAACATCACCAAAAAGGAAGCACATTTTTGTATTTATTTTACTCAGTAATAATGATTGTTCCCTTCTCTTGATTTTAAAAGCTGAAATAAACACACTATCTTTCAAAATAAAAAAGACAGAAAGGAAAGGAAAAAGAAAAGAAGATGAAAAAGAAAAGAGAAAAGGAAAGGAAAGAAAACAAGAGAAAAGAAAAAGTTTGCTGCTAATATGCCCTTCCCTACAGCAGGCACTATTGACATTCTGGGCCAGATAATTCTTTCTCTTAAGGTTGTCCTGTATATTGGAGGATGTTTGGCAGCATCTGTGGCCTCTACCCAGTGACATGTGACAACTGAAATGTCTCCAGATGTTGCCAACTATCCCCCGGGGGGCAATATCACCCCTTTGAGAACCACTGCCCTCCAGGATAGGCCTTCAGGATAACAGAATGTTACAACTTCAGTATGTGGGGGGCACCTGGGTGGCTCAGTTGGTTAAGCGACTGCCTTCGGCTCGGGTCATGGTCCCGGGGTCCTGGGAT